CATGGTGGGGCTCCCCCAGCAGCACAAACCTTACAAATGAAGACTTTACAACCCCCAAAAGGGGTCTGACCTAAGCCCTCACCCTGAGCACAGGGTAGAGTCACCCCCCTGACTATGAACTGCTTGAGGCCCCAGAAAAGTCGTGGGGTGGGGGGCGGCTGTGGGGTCAGAGCCGGCTGTGAGACCACCTAGGAGTTTTCTTAGGGCCAGAGTTGGCGTCGTCCCAATGGGAAGATCCCATTCCACAGACGGGAACGCCGAGCCCCTCCCAGCCTTGCAGGCGCCTCGGGGCGGCTCTGCCTGCAGGCCCACAGCGGCTCCAGGCTCCTCGCCAGAGCTCCGTGGCTTCAGGTCTCCCTCGGGAAGACTTACTCCCTCTCTCTCCCCCGAAGAAACCCCAGCCAGGGTCTCCCTGATCCACCCACGCCTCTGGGAGCAGTTCCTGGAATCAGCTCTGCTCGGATGACAGCTGCACGCGGATTGCGGATTGCTTAACCGAGAACTTGACTCCGGAGCTGCCCGCCTCCCCCTCCGTCCCTGTTCGAGCCTTGCCCCTCCCTCCCCCTCGAAGGGAACTGTCTCCGGGCTTCTAGCCACTCCAGCTCAGCAGAGCTTGCTGAGACACTGTCCACAAAGCAGCGATGGGAGGCTGCCCCGAGACCCGGCGATGGCCAGTTCGGATCCAGGCCACCCTGATCAAGCCAGGCACGCCACGGTTTGGTTCCCAGTGAGTGCACGCCAACGGTGCCGCCCATGGAGGGCTTTCAGAGGTTGCACGATTCTCCCTCTGGGAGCCTTCCTAAGGTGGGGCAGCCGGTGGATGTGGATTTGAACCGCGGGCTTTGCAGTTAGTCCAAAGCTTACCCTGTGGCGCCACCAGGGTTTCTGGTGGCCTGGTGCGCGGGTGCGAGAGGGTCAGAGACTGAGATCGATGGCCTGTGGCCCAGAGACAGGGCATGAACATGTGCTGACTGAGGCGTGGGGCCCGCAGGCTTGCTCCACACCGGGGAGCTCACTTTGTAGGAAATGCAGGTCTGCACAGCGGGGGCATGGGGGCCGCAGGGACCCTCCCCCACCCCTGGAACAGCTGTGTGTACGTTTTCCCACGGCTGCCCTGTTCAATGAGCTCTGCTTCCACTTAGCAGCTACATCCAGTCTTCAGCATCCACGGCCCAACAGCAAGGAGAGGGAGGTGGGGGGCGAGGGGGATAAGGAGAGATAGATGGAGACAGAGACAGGGAGAGATGGAGACGGAGGTGGGGTAGAAGAGGAGATAGAGGAGAGGGAGAAACACACACAGAGAGAGGGAGGAGGTTGTGCCCCTCCTGAGCGGGAAGGTGTCTGGCCAGAGGCCCGCCGTGGTCCCTGATAATCGGCGGTCAGAAATCCACAGTGCGTTGTGCAACACTGCCAATAAAGGTCCAGGCCCTGACCCACAGCTCCACGAAACACGTGTTTGTCCAGCGCTGCGGGAGGGGCCCTGGGGCACCCAAGGGCACCAGCCAAAGGCCGGGGTGGCTGCAGTCTGCGGTGAGCCCCCTCCCCC